CAAACTCTTGCATCTTTATCATCTTCTCCGGAATGTTTCTCTCCGTTTGATATATGGAAGCAATCTTGCCTGAAAACATTCTCCCTCATCGATCTTGATCTCAAGATCCATCCTTCCATTGATTCTTACTGCAGCGGCTGCACCGCTCTCACCGCTGTCTTGCAGGTACATATCTATCTTATAGATTTTATGGCCTAAAAATAACCTAAGAAACGAATAAAAAGACTGTATTATTCTTGTTATTTAAGACGTCTGCAGTAACCTACTATGAATCATACTATTTACTCATATGGTATATAATATTGTAGTAAGATTTTGAAAACTATAAAATAGTATCAAGAAGTTAATTAATTTTTTTAAAAAATTGAAAACGTATGTTTATATATGTCAACTCTTAAAATTTTGAAATTCTAAGACCAGTGTTTCATTTCTTGATGTTCAAAACCGGTTTGAGTGATGATTTTGTTTTTTTTGTTATTTTGCTTTTGAAGGGTGATCATCTTGTTGTTGCAAATGCCGGTGATTCACGAGCAGTAATAGCAACGACTTCTGATGACGGAAGCGGTTTAGTACCGGTTCAGCTATCAGTAGACTTTAAACCGAACATTCCCGGTATATCTCTAAAAGCCTTCTCCATATTTTACATTTAAATTCCCGGTTAACAATTGGTTTTAACAATTGGTATGTATGCCCGGTTAAACAGAGGAAGCAGAACGTATAAAACAATCAGATGGACGATTGTTTTGCCTAGACGATGAACCGGGAGTGTACCGGGTGGGCATGCCAAACGGCAGATCGCTCGGTTTAGCTGTCTCAAGAGCGTTTGGAGATTACTGCCTTAAAGACTTCGGTTTAGTCTCTGTACCGGAACTAACATACCGAAAGATAACCGACAAGGACCAGTTCCTCATTTTGGCCACAGATGGGGTAATATATATTAAATATTTATTTACTTTTGAATCATATTATGATATAGACACATACATAACTTACATTACCATGTATATATGTGTATGAAGATGTGGGATGTGATGACAAACGATGAGGCAGTGGAGATAGTAAGAGGAGTCAAAGAGAGAAGAAAGAGTGCAAAGAGATTGGTGGAGAGAGCTATGATACTTTGGCGTAGGAAGAGAAGAAGCATCGCCATGGATGATATCTCTGCTCTTTGTCTCTTCTTTCATCCTTCTTAGTTTCACTCTTGTTTAACCTCTAATACATATATGTCAACGTATTTTGAGCTTCAACAACAAAGTGTCATATATATATACACATTTTCTTAGAATAACAGATGTTGTTAAGATTAGAAATGAGTGATTAAGAGTTTCATCATGTTTTTGTATATATGGCGTGTAACGTTGACATAGTGAGTGATTATTACATTGTTCTTCTTGAGTAACGATGAAATGGCATAGTGAATCAGTGGTTCACATGCATGGCTCTTAACTATGATTATAAACATGACATCAACTTAAACATTACAGATTCAGTTTTCAAGGGCTTGCTTGCTTGCAGATAAACTGTATATATTAGTGATTAGACTAACCAGTGTCCTCTCCGTTTACTCTCATCAGTGACATTACTGCATAAACCTCTTTCTCCATGTTACAAAGTTCATGTGTTGTTTCTTTAACAAGTCTCCTTATCAACCTTGATTTCTTTAAGATATACGGTATATTGGAACTACTTTTCTTATTTTCTACGTGCAAGAGAGCAACTTGCATCATGTAATATGTATAATACTAACACTCTTCTCATTTTGGCTAGTTTTGTAATGCTAAAGAAGGGTAAACGTCCAACAAGATGCATCTGACTGTTTTAAGAAATGTTTAAGAGCCAAACAGGATCTCATATATGGAAATATACGGATGAACAAAATACACATTAAAGAAAACAGAGGTCATAATGCAAACCAGTTTGACTGAGACCAATGGTAGAGGTTAATGATCGAAGATGACAAAAAGGAAAAAAGTAAATACATAGATTAAAACCTAATCCTAGTTTTCAAGGTGTCATTTGAATATTATTCATCAGAATCTCATTAGAACTTCAAAATCTGTTGATTAAGAGTTTTCTTTTTCCGAAAAGGTTTGCCAGTTGATTTGAATTCCTTCAGTTTCAATCATTATCTTCCTCAAAGCATTTTCAAAATAATTTTACACCTTACATTTTAAACTATTTTTTTAAAATTACTTGTGACTTTTTATTAACATATTTTAATAGTTTTAAAAAGAGAAGCACAAACCCATGGCTTCAGGCTAGAGGACTTCCCCTGATGCTGCTGCATCACTCACTCGTGCATGTTTGTTAATTTGCACTGAACTTGGAATATATAAGAGCACACAAGTAGGCCCCAATAATTTTTTTTGCTGGTTCTTCTGCAACAACCACTTCACTGAAGTAACCAACATTTCCAATGATATAGCCTATGTGACCAATGGGGCTAAGCTCACTATTACCAAAAACAACAACAAGCGCCAATCTTAAATCCAAAACCAGTGAATGTTCTCATATCAACCGCAAAGAACAACGTGTTCCAGAACACCTCTTTAGGTTCAATCTTAGTCGTAACCCAAATCTCCATCCCCAATGTTTCCTTGCGCTGAAATAACACAGCAAGCTGCTCCTCTCTAACATTAGAGAAAGTCACAAGACTCACAACAGCTCTCTCAGAGTAAGAGTGAAAAAGGCAGAGGTAGACGCGGCTCAAATCTCTCTGTTGTAAAATCGAAAACATACTAGACGTGTCACATAATATAACTTGTAAGAACTTCTTGGTTTGATCCATCTTGTTTGCCCACAATAAGGTTTGTTTTTTTCTTCTACATTGATGATGCATAAACAATAAACCATCGCCAATGAAAGATGTCAAAGGGACCATAGAGTTTACCTTTACGCTTTATATATGAGTCAACTATGTCATCATCTTTGTGAATCCCGTAGAGATTGACACTCATTAACTAAACTTTAAAATTCATCATCATAACCACTAGAACCTCTCTTTTCTTTCCTCTGCTGCTATTGCTTTGCCAATAAAATTTTTCTTTCTAAAGTTCATATCGTTAGATAAAGCTCTCTGGTTTTTGCAAGTAGATCTCACTGTCTTTAGAGATGTCAAAGGGACCTTAGAGAACACATTCTCCAACAAATCTCTTGGAAGATTAGAGATCATTATAGGATCCATGTTGTAGAGCTTCAAAATCTATTTCCTTTACTAGTAGCATAACCTAAAATGTACGTTGGAAATTAATTTATAACCTCTCAAAACAAAATATAGGTTTCTCGATCATTAAATTCATTTAGTAAATGAGTCTGGAAAATATAGCTTGTGCTTATACAAATTGTGTTGAGTTAGTTCATGACCTTACCGTTCGTTTTGTTACCCTTAATATCGACTTCATCATATATGATTCAACATTGGCTACGTGGAGGCTGATGGTCATTAGATAAATACTAAAATCCAGTTTTGCCATTGTTGAATTTGTCATTTGAAGTTAGATACAAGTGAGTTTTCAAAGCTCTATATTAAACTTATTCAGTTAAAGAAAAACTTATTTTTATAAACAGAAAAAAAAACAAAACAAAAAAATCATTTGAAAATACATTGTCAAAACCATAGCATACGACTAAATTTTAAATATAATTTGTGGAGTCAATACTCGATTTGGGTTAGCAGCCATTAGCTGTAGCTAGGGGTGGGCACGGATCGGATATCCGGGTTTTTTAAAGTATTTGTGATTTGCTTCGAATGTTACGGATATCTAATTTTGGTATTTGCTTTGCTTCGAAAAAATACGGATATCCGGAAAAACGGATATCCGGAAAATAAATAGATATTTGCGGATATTTACGAATATTTACGGATATCTCATCTATTTTAATTAGTACAAATAATCTTAAGATTTTGATACAAATTTGCTTTGCAAAAATATTTTTTGCATGATATATAAAATAAAACTTAAAAGAACTAGTGAATTTATAGATTTTGTAATTTTTTAAAGTTTAAGTTACAATTATAATAACACAAAATTTAAGAAAAAAATATAATTGTCAAAAATATTTTATCTCTTTTTNTGCTAAATTAATAATTATATAATTTTATACAATTAAAATTTTAAATATAATCAAAATATACATATATTTATATATTTACGGATCGGATCGGATATCCGCTTTCCAAAATTTTAATATTTGTGATTTGCTTCGATTTTAACGGATATTGAATTTTAGTATTTGCTTTGATTCGAAAGTTTACGGATATCCGGAATTTTCGAATCGAATCGAAACGAATAACGGATCGAATCAAATATAACGGATAAAATGCCCAGCCCTAGCTGTAGCTTTCAACTAAACGGACGCCACGTCATTCTCCCTGACAAGGTAACAACATGTGGCGGACGCCAGTGAAACTCTGCTCAATCCACTTCAATTCCATTTCTCGAATCCGCAAGTAAAGAGTACTAATCCCCTACATCGCACCCCACCTTTTCCACGCATCATAAACCGACACGTGTCTTAATAACCCAGCGACAGAGAGAGTCCATGGATCCCACACTTCCGCTTCCCCACTGGGCTAAACCGCATCAGATAAAAGCCAAAGAAAAGGAATCAGATACCAACGAGGTTATCACCTTATACAACAACAATAGCGCTTATCAATGATAAGTGAAACAACTTATCAAACTAAACTACAGACTGTATGGACAAAACACATCGAAGAAAGTGGAGAACAAGTCGTACTTTCTTCTTTTTTTTTTCTTTAATTAAAAAAAAAATGAAAAAAAGAAATATAAATTGAATCTTTCTATCTCTGTTTCCGGGTCAGCCTTTATCTTCTTTCTTCTCGTTGTTGCGACGCCGAGGAAGAGAAACCCTAGAAAAAAAAAAAAAACACATTTTTCAATCTAAGCCTTGACCAAACAGATCTTGTAAGGAAAAAAATGTCGTCTCTGAGCAGAGAGTTAGTGTTCTTGATCCTTCAGTTCTTAGATGAAGAGAAGTTCAAAGAATCTGTTCACAAGTAAAAAAGTTTCTCTCTGTTTCTTTAAATCTAAGATTTGTCTGAATGGTTTTTTTGTAATTAGGGTTTGATTATTTGTGTGTTTAAGGCTAGAGCAAGAATCTGGATTCTACTTTAATATAAAGTACTTTGAAGAGAAGGCTCTTGCTGGTGAATGGGATGAAGTGGAGAAGTATCTTTCAGGGTTTACTAAAGTTGATGATAATCGTTACTCTATGAAGATTTTCTTTGAGATCAGGAAGCAAAAGTATCTCGAAGCTCTAGATCGGTATTTAATTAATTAATTTTATTTTTATTTTTAGTTTTTAGCTTAAGTAGGCTCTTGTGTATGTTCTTGTATTTGATGATGATGTCAACATTTGTGTATGTTTGTTTCAGGAATGATAGAGCCAAAGCTGTGGAGATATTAGCTAAAGACTTGAAAGTTTTTGCTACGTTTAATGAGGAGCTTTACAAGGAGATTACTCAGCTTCTGACTCTTGAGAATTTCAGGTGATTTTTATTTTTATTTTTAACTTGATTGTAATTGGACTAAAGGAGGAGACTTTAGTGTGAAGAGTGTTTTTTTTTTTTTTTAATTATTACAGGGAAAATGAGCAGTTGTCTAAGTATGGTGATACAAGATCAGCCAGGAATATAATGTATACGGAGTTGAAGAAGCTTATTGAAGCGAATCCTCTGTTTAGAGAGAAGCTGGCCTTCCCTAGCTTCAAGGCTTCACGCCTGAGAACTTTGATTAATCAAAGGTAAAGTGTTTGATGCTTTCATCATATCAAGAGAGATGAGCCAAGTGTTTGAATTTTATGCTTTTTTCTTTCTCTTGCAGCTTGAATTGGCAGCACCAGCTATGTAAAAACCCGAGGCCTAATCCTGACATCAAAACATTGTTTTTGGATCACTCTTGCTCTGCATCAAACGGTGCTCGTGCAATTACACCTGTGAATCTTCCTGTTGCTGCTGTTGCAAGACCTTCTAACTTTGTTCCTCTTGGAGTACATGGTGGAGTAAGACCTCTGACTTTACTTACTTCTTTTCCACCTTTTATGTTATTTTAACTTTATGTTTAGATTTTGAGAGCTGATGAAAGTGCTAATTAACTGTGCAGCCTTTTCAACCAAGTGCTTCTCCGGCTCCTAACGCTAATGCTTTAGCTGGATGGATGGCTAACCCTCA